TGTATTTTTAGTAGAGACAGGGTTTCACCATGTTAGCCAGGATGGTCTCGATCTCCTGACCTCGTGATCCGCCTGTCTCGGCCTCCCAAAGTCCTGGGATTACAGGCGTGAGCCACCGCGCCTGGCCTAAAAAGCATTTTTTTTAAATCAAAAGCTTATTGAAGCAGTGCAAAACCAGTACAAAGTATTTCCTTTCTCCTTCTCCTCCTCCTCCTCCTCCTGTTACTTCTTTTCCTTCTTCTTCTTCTTTTTGAGACAGGGTCTTGCTTCTTTTTTTTTTGAGACAGGGTCTCACTCTGCAACCCAGGCTGGAGGGTGGTGGTGTGATCATGGCTCTCTGCAGCCTCACCCTCCACAACCCAAGCAATCCTCCCACTTTAGCCTCCCAGGTTGCTGGGACTACAGGTGCATGCACCACCACACCTGGTTAATTAAAAAAAAAAAAATTGTAGATATGGGGGTCTCACTGTATTACCGGGCTGGTCTTGAACTCCTGGCTCAAGCCTCCCAAAGTGTTGGGATTACACGTATGAGCCACTGCACTCAGCCATTTCCTTTCTTTTGAACCATTGAGAGAAAGCTGCCGACAGAATGTGCCACCATCCCTATTACTTTTTGTGTGTTTCCTACAAGCTAGGATTCTCTCCTACAAACTACAATTGAACCATCAAAATTGGGAAATCAACAGCGATAAATTGCTGCCATTTAATCCTCAGGTCCCCTGCAAGTTCTGCCACCTGTCCCAATATGTCTTTCACAGCAGAAGAATCCAGTGCAGAATCACGCGTTGCATTTAGTTATCAGAGCTCTTTAGTCTCCTTCAATATGGAGCAGTTCCCCAGACCTCCCTAAGATACTGGCTTTGATAGTTCTGAGATGAGAGGGCAGTTACTTTGTAGGATGTCCTCGCATTTGACTTTGTCTGATATTTCCTCCTAATTCGATTCTGATCATGTATCTTTGCCAGGAACATCACAGAAGTGATTCTGTCATCTTGTTGCATCCTCTCAGGTGGCTCAAGATTTCAGTTTGTCCCTTTATTGATGAGGGTCACTTTGATCCCTTGATTAGGGTGGTGTCTGATAAGTGTCTGTGTTGTAAAGTTTCTTGTTCCCCTTTGTAATTATCAAGTATATTATGGGGAGTTTATTTTTATTTTATTTTATTTTATTTTTGAGACAGGGACTCATTCTGTTGCCCAGGCTGCAGTTCCTTGCATGAACACGGCTCACTGCAACCTGGACCTCCTGGGCTCAAGTGATCCTCCTGCCCCAGCTGCCCGAGTAGCTGGGACTACAGACACGCACCACCACACTAATTTTTTTTTAGTAGAGTCGAGGTCTTGCCCTGTTGCTCAGGCTGGTCTCAAACTCCTGAGCTTAAGCAATCCACCCACCTTGGCCTCCCCAAATTCTGGGATTACAGGTGTGAGCCACCACGCCCTGTCGGGAGTTTATTTGAAATTTTATCCCATTCCTTCTCAAACTTTCAAAATATGTGTTTATTTGTATTAGTCTGGTCTTGTGGTTTCCTACATTATTTCATGCGTTATAATCCTCTATGGCCATGATTTTCATGCTCAGATTGTCCCAGGTAAGCCAGTGGGAACCCCTCCAAGTTGGCTTGCATGTCTTTTTGACATGGCCTCATCACTTTGAGCTCCTTCCTGCTTTCTGGCGTGAGATGCTCCATGATCACTTTGTACTTCGTCTGCTCTGGACTTGAAATCGGCCATTTCTCCAAGAAGCCCTGGGCACACATTGCAGTCTGAGCATCGCTGTCAGCAGACAGAACAGGAGAATGTATAATACATATTATAAATGAATAGAATATAAATACAGAAAACAAATTCTAGAAACATTTTATATATATATATATATATATTTTATCTATCTAAGTTTATCTATCTCTATTGAAAGCCGTGAGTTCAAATCGGTGCCTCCAATTCATATCTAACAAGTCCATTTCAGTTTCCCCCTTTTCTCTCTGTGTGCTCCCTGCTCTGACAATAAGAAACCTGGTTTCCCTTACCTTTAATCTATTTGTTTATTTGATCAATTCTCCTGTATGTAACCATTCTCCCATCTTCCCCCACTTCCTCCAGCTAGAGCTCTGACGCCCCTTTTAGGCAGCTCCCCTGCCCACATAGACACCCTCTTTGCCCTGTTTGGGCTCCGACTGGCCCCTGTGAGGACACACCCCCACACCCTATGCAGACATTCCCGCACCCCCTCAGTCCCCTGCACCTCCTCACTTGGCCTGGGCTCCAACACATGCTCTGAGCCACCAAGCCCATTCCCACCGCTGACACCCACCTTGCTTTGACCCACCCAACGGCTTTAGGACTGACTTGTTCCAGAAGAAAAAAGAAGGGAGGTGTGGAGCAGGGAAGCGTGCACACTTTTAATGGCATGGAAAAGACACTTCTGAGTAATGCTAAGCAAAAAAGAAGGCAAGATATATAAAATTGTACGGAGAGTATAATATCAATGATGTAGAAAACTCAGAAAGAAACACTGGCACTCTCTCCGGCTAAAGAGCCAAGCAGAAACTGGACAAGGTTTGTTCACTGACCACCCAGTGCAGTGCCCTTAGATCTCACACCCTTTAAGCTTACCGCTGTGCCTCATTTCCTTCATGCATGAAACGGGATGGTAATAGCATTTACTCACAGGGGTGTCATGAGGCTGAAGTGAGTTAGCACATGGAAAGGACGTAGGACACCACCTCACACACATAGGACGTGCCCCACAAATCTTAGCTGTCACTATAGGGACGAGAAGAGTGAAGTTCAGTGAGGTCCTCTATGATGCCTTCCTGAGGTCCCCTATCATAGGCACAGTCTGGACACAGTTGTGCCCAACTCAGAGTTCATGTAAGCCTTTTGCCATTGCACTGCTCAAGGAATTAGAAGCAGTGGGAGATGGGGCAATACACCCATGACCAGGACAAGACTGCCTGAGACATATTCTACAAATGCCTTGCGGACCAGAGGAGGAGCAGTTACAGCTGCTTGGTAATTCACCAGGGGGGCTTCTTAGCACAGGTCAGATTCCGGATAGACCTTGAACGCTGGGAAAGATTTGAATAAGTTGTGATGGTAGAGGGAAGGACTGGGGGAACAGACTGAACAATGGCAGGAGACTGGGATCCCCACATCGGTCACCTGTAAGGGTGTTCCTCAGCACTGCGGGTGTTCTGGGTCAGGCAGCTCTGTACTGTGGGGGACTTTCCAGTGTGTTGTTGGACGTAGCAGACCCCCTGGCTTATTTGCACTAACGCCAGTTAGCAACCCACGCCCCTAGAATGACAACCAAAAATGGATACAGACGTTGCCTGATGTCCCCTGGATGGGGGTCCAAAATCGCCTCCAGCTGAGTGCCACTGTTCTAGATAAACGGAATTTTCAGGAAGCCCCAATATGCCACTCATTTATTAACAGGAGTCTGGCTTCTCATCCTTTCTCTTATTGTTGGATGACCTCATGAAAAGGAGACAACCACACTTCAGATGGCCACAGGAAGGAAGAAGGGAAGTGGAGTCCTCCATAATCCACAGTGCCTGTCACTGAGGGCTCCTTGATAAGGATTTTTCAAGGTATGAACATGCAGTTCAACAGCTGGCCAGGCTTCCTGGTTCAGAAGTGCAATCCTAGGTGGGGAAGTTTGTTATTGCAGCGGGCAAGAATGAGGACACTTCACAGGGCTGGGCTGCAGAGGAGAGATGAGAGACTAAGCTGATGAGAATCACCAACCAGTTTGATGACTTTGAGAACAGTCACTTCCTCTTTCTGGGCTACAGTTTTCTCATCGGTAACTGAAGAGCTTGCAGTACCTTCAGCATTCCTTCAGGTGAGGACTTGTCTGTGATTCCTGCTATAGTTTGAATGTGTCTCCTAAAGTTCATGTGTTGGAGGCTTAATCCCCAGTGCAAAAGTGTTGGGAGGAGGGGCCTAATGAGAAGTAATTAGACCGTGAGTATTCTGCCCTCATGAATATATTAATGTCATTATCATAGGAGTGGGTTTGTTAAAATGAGTTCGGCCCCTTCTTTCTCTCTCTTTCTTCTGCCCTGCACTATGGGATGTACAGTGCAGAAGGTCTCACTACATGCTGGCACCATGCTTTTGGACTTCTCAGCCTCCAGAACCATGAGCCAAATAAATTTCTGTTCATTATAAATCACCTAGTCTGTGGCATCCTGATACAGCAGCATGAAATGGACTAAGATAATCCCTATGAAGAGTGGCAAAAGAACAGTTCCCAGCTCACTGGCAGAATCCTATGATCAACTAGTAATGTCTGCCAGGGATGGAGGATGAGTGACACCAACATGTATTCATCTTGATTCAACTGGAATCTCTGGGTCTGTGTGAAGACCAAGAGCTGGGGACAGAAGCAGGACTCTAGAGGGGAAGTTTCATTCAGATTCAGGTTTTTGTTTTGTTTTAAAGAGCTGCTCTGTGAGAGGACAAGGAGAAAATGGTCCCTATAGGTCACAGATACCTCTGTCTCAGGGAGACACTCAAGCATTTATTCAACCAAGAAATATAATTAGGTCCAGGTGAAAGGAGAACCCCAGAATACCCACCTACTTTTAAAGTTCTCCCCATGCATATTCAGGAACCAACAAGAGGATTTGTAATGCGCTGTGAATAGAAAGGGAAGGGGAATGGGAAAGAAAAAAGCGAAGCTTGGAATGGTGGAAAGTACATGGGCTCTGCCATTTACCAGCTGTGTGATCTTGGGCAAGTAACTCAACCTTTCTGAGCTTTGGTTTCCTCTTCAGTGAAATGAGGACTAATAATCCATTTCTCCCTCAGCACAGAGAGCCAGCAAGCAGTGAGCACTCAGCGATGGCCAAGTACGGGAGAAGCCAGGCTCGAATGAACATACGGGACCATTTTGTGCAGGGTCTCAGGTAGGCTCAAGACTTTGCACTTAGTTTAACAGGCAACGGGGAGCAATTGACAACTTTAAAAAAAATTAACATAAATGGGAACCACTCAGACTGTGTCCTCTTCCTCTTTCAGAGGAAGGTAAGAACCAACTTCAATGGCACATGGCAGTTGCCAAATTGCCATGAAGCAAAATACCTAAAGCCACCTCATGCTCAGGAGAAAACGTTCACCTGCCCCGCCTGGTTCCCAGGGCTCTACACATTCAGAGAAACTTCTCTAGTAATGAATTCGGGAGCTGGTCGCTGAGAGTATAGTCTATGGACAGCTTCGGAGCCATGGAGTGAAGCCGAGCAAATCCATGGACCACTGCCCTGCCCCGGGGTCTATCTCGCTAGACTGGGGACAGGACTTGGGTGATGCAGGAACAGAGAATGGCCTGAGGAGGACACAGACCAGACCAGAGAGGAGGGAAGATGGGAGGAGGATGTGGGAAAAGGGCTTGCGTCAATCTACAGAAGCAAGAGTTAGCAAAAGGCGGAAGGGAAAGGGCTTAGATCCAAAAGGCAATGGGAGAGAGAGTTTATTGGGTTTGTCTCTTTGACCGCCAGGGATTGTAGGGAGTAGATAAAATAGGATAAAGAGAGGATTGCTCAAGATTGTGAATTGGGTTCCTTCGATGTTCCAAAAAGAGAGAGAGAAAAGAGATTATTTTATTTTATTTTATTTTATTTTTTGAGACAGAGTTTTGCTCTGTTGCCCAGGCTGGAGTGCAATGGTGTGATCTTGGCTCATTGCAGCCTCTGCCTCCTGGGTTGAAGCGATTCTCCTGCCTAATCCTCCTAAGTAGCTGGGACTACAGGCCCAAGCCACCAGGCCCATCTCATTTTTGTATTTTTAGTAGAGACAGTGTTTCACCATGTTGGCCAGGCTGGTCTCGAACTCTTAACCTCAAGTGATCCACCTGCCTCGGCCTCCCAAAGTGCTGGGATTACAGGCGTGAGCCACTGTGCCCGACCGCACCGCACTTTAAAAAACACTGTGTTACTGCTGGGCTGAGGCACAAGGACCACAGCTACAGTAGGGTTACAGGTGTTCACGGCTGTTTTGCTCCAGAGAATGGCTATGCCACTGAGAGACATCAAGTTCTTACCATATCCCGGCTCTCTAAAGACCACACAATCCTGATTTCTTGCTGTCGTCCCTGAGCAGATAGCGTCAGGGCCTTGCTTTAATTTCTTCCCTCCTCACCACTCCCACAGCACTCTCTGCCTGTAGCACCTGACACTGCCCGAAGACTTTCTCTGGGTTCAGGGCTGTGCTTGGTGAACTGGCTCCAGGAGCAGCCCTCAGCCAATGATAACTAGGACTCCTTAGATAAACTCTGCAGCTTTCTCACCCTTTGGGCAGGAAAACCTTAAGATGTATTTGGCACCATCACCCTGAGGTTCCCACAGGCTGGAAACCCCTGATGTCCCCACAGATGTCCATGAACCCAGATGTCCACAACAGTGGCCTGCTCATCACCTTCACCTGGCCTGGCTTCCTTCCCTTCCCGTCTCTCTTGCCCACTCCTCTCTGTGCTTCTCGGAATGACCTTCTGATTAACCACCTGTACTCAAATCCTAGTCTCAGGCCTGTTTCCAGCAGAGCCCAATCAAAGAGAGTCAGGGTTTTAGGCAGTTCATCCCATTGTCAGGCCACGACCTGATCTGGAAAGAACACGTGGTCACTCCCCTCAGAGTTCACGGATTTCAAACCCACGTGCTGCTCCTCCTGCTCCAGCACCAAGACCGACTGGTCCTTTGGGCTCGTGGGCTGCAGGCAGCCTCGGCTCGTTCTCCAGACGGTGTTCCAAGCAGCCTCTTCCAGCAAGGCAGTGTTGGCCTGAGAACTGGAAACTCTTTGCGGTCTCTGCAAACGGGACAATGACAATGACAATGACACTTGAGAAGGCATGGGAGAGAGGAGCTCCTTCATAGGGCAGGGAGGGGTGGGCACTTGGGTGTGACCAAGGAGAGGAGGCGCACCTGGTCTACAGCTCTCCCTGGCCCGTGTCCAGCTCCCTCCTCACATGGGGCCGGGGGAGGCATCTCAGGGATGGCATCTTTCCCGCCACAGGGAAATTCTCATCTTTGACACAGCGTGGGAATCGAGGCACCCAGGAGGGGAGCAGAGGCAGGCAGGCCTCCTTCAGAGCCATCCTCCAGCTGGGCTGGTGGTGCTGGGGAGGCTCCCTGCTTGGTAACAAAGGCCTGAGGGAGAGTTGTGAAACCCAGCAGGAAAGCCGGCTCACCTTCGCCTTCCCCTGTGGCTGGGAGGAGAGGAAATATCCCATGACTGACTGTGCCAAGGTGGTGTCTGAGCCAGCCCTCCCGGCCCGAGGGCAGGGCAGGTGGCACTGAGAGATAAGCCAATCCCTCGGCTGCAGATGAGGAGTTCTGAGAAGCATTGCTCAGGACAGCGGTAAATCACTTCTTGGAGGTGCCCTGCACGCCGGTACTGGGATCAGGCGGCCTCCCGGGAGTGTGGGAGCCCCACTCCTCCGTGGTGTGTTCCATTTGCTTCCACATCTGGAGGAACTGACGTGCCAGCCTCCCCCAGCACCACCCAGGGACGGGCGGCATGAGCCGGTCAAGGCACCTGGGCAAAATCCGGAAGCGTCTGGAAGATGTCAAGAGCCAGTGGGTCCGGCCAGCTAGGGCTGACTTTAGTGACAACGAGAGTGCCCGGCTGGCCACGGACGCCCTCTTGGATGGGGGTCCTGAAGCCTACTGGCGGGTGCTTAGCCAGGAAGGCGAGGTGGACTTCTTGTCCTCGGTGGAGGCCCAGTACATCCAGGCCCAGGCCTGGGAGCACCCCTGTCCCCCAGACACCCTGGGAGGGGCAGAGACAGGCCCTAAGGGACTAGACTCCAGCTCCCTACAGTCCGGCACCTACTTCCCCGTGGCCTCAGAGGGCAGCGAGCCAGCCCTACTGCACAGCTGGGCCTCAGCTGAGAAGCCCTACCTGAAGGATAAATCCAGCGCCACCGTGTACTTCCAGACTGACAAGCACAACAACATCAGAGACCTCGTCCGCCGCTGCATCACCCGGACCAGCCAGGTACCAATGGCAAAACCCTGTCTCCGTGGCTAAGTAGCAGGGAGGATGGGGGGGCTGATGGAGCAGGGAGGGGGGTGCATTTTGCTCCCAGGGTCAGAGTCCAGATGATTGGGGCTTCAGATGGAGGGGCATTGCTGTCCGCCTTGCCCTGGACCACTGACCTCCTGATCCCACCTGTCACAACCGGGGTCTAGGCCACCATCACTTATCACCGGAACTCCTGCAATCACTTCCTGCCTGGCCCCCTCTTCCATTTTGATCCCCATCCTTGCAGTCTCCATACTGCAGTAGAGCGGCTTTTCCTCTCTTCTTCTTTTTTTTTTTTTTTTTTTTTTTTGAGACAAATCTTGCTCTGTCGCCAAAGCTGGAGTGCAGTGGCACTATCCTGGGTCACTGCAACCTCCACCTCCCAAGTTCAAGCGATTCTCCTGCCTCAGCCTCCCGAGTAGCTGGGATTACAAGCGCATGCCACCACGCCCGGCTGGTTTTTGTATTTTTAGTAGAGATGAGGTTTCACCATGTTGGCCAGGCTGGTTTTGAACTCCTGACCTCAGGTGATCTATCCACCTCGGCCTCCCAAAGTGTTGGGATAACAGGCGTGAGCCACAGTGCCCTGCTAGAGCAAGCTTTTCTATACTACAAATATAATTTGGTCTTTTCCCTGCTTAGAGCTTTCGGTAGCTCCCAGTTGCCCACAGTGGGAAGAGCAAACTCCTTAGCATGGCTCCCACCTCCTCCTGCTCCATACCAAGTGCCCCGTAGAGCTTGTCTTTGGGCCTTTGCGTGTGCTGTTCCCTCTGCCTGGCCCCGCTTGCCTTCCCTGCTTTTCATTTGATGCACACCTACTCCTGCTTCAGGACCCAGCATGAAAGCCTCTTCCCCAGTAAGCCTTTCCTGAATTCCCCAGGCTGCGTTGGGGTACCCACCTCTGCGCTTCCAAATGTAAGGGGACCACTCCGCTGGGCTCACCTTTGCCCCTTCTCCTCTCAGACTCTGCTAAGACCTGTCTGCCCACAAATGACCTTGTGGCTCTTGAATCCAGCCAGTGGCCAGGCAGAAGATGGGGTAGGCAGCAGAGGGCGTTTCTCTCTCCCCAGAATATTCACACCTTGATAAGTGTCTTCAGAAGAGAAAAAGCCCTTCAAGCCCAGAGCTGGGCTGGTAGGATTTCTGGCACCGTAAGAGCTGGATCAGGAGTTCTCCCAATGCCCTGGGATCTCCAGCCTCAAGTGACATCCTGCTGTCAGCAGAGGGACTCGACCTCTGGGGTCTTGTTCTAGCCCAGGTGCACAAAATGACTCCAGCACCAGGCTGTGGGTGCCCACCCCTCGTTCCTGATACTACAGAGGAGTAGGGGAGAACAGACCCCAAGGAAAAACATTCATCATCTGTAAAATCCTCTCTGTCTCACTCTCTGCCTCTCTCTCATTAAAATTATTTATTTTGTTACCCTTAGAAGAACTCATAAAAGACCGTGCTGATGTTTAGGTTGGTTTTTTGCTAGGTCCCAGTCTCATAACTGAATTCCCTCCCAAGTTCAATACCGTGTGAAATCTTAAGGTTCCAGAAACAGCCACCAAGGGTGAAGAAGCAAGAAGCCATGCATGGAGGAGGAGGGAGGGAGTGGAGTTCTGGAAAATTTAGTGGAAGGTAACAACAGGTGGGGCGTTGGCTTTCAGTGCGGCTGGGCTGCTTGGAGCAGTGTTCCATGTTTCCGTGGCAGGGCAGCATTTGAGGATTCGTCCAGGCAGGCGGCCAGGAGTGCCCACGCTGCCTTGCGGCCCGGCGCTGGCTGCACCCCCTCAGGCAAGTCCCTTGACTCCTCAGGGTTCAGCTTCTATGCCGGAATAAGGTCCCTCCAGGCTCCAAAGGCCTGTTCCTGAGTGTGCCAGTTCTGGTCTTTCTGCATGAAGTTCAGTGCTCTCCCGAGGGGTGGGGATCAATACTGTTGGGGGAAATTGTCAATCACAGCTGCTCAAAGGGCAAGGGAGGATCCCTGGAAGGAAGCCTGGTTAGGGCTTGTAAAACACAGTCCCCTGGCTGAGTCCCTCTCCTCCCCACTCCACACCCAGTGAGGCTTCTGCATCCACCTCTAGGACCCTGAGACCACTGATATCCTTTGGACCAGCACAGTGTGTTACGAACTTAGGACAACACTTAAAAATCTTAAGGTTTTACCTGAAAGTAAGAACTTGCAGCTCCTCTTAGCAGGTAGGCTCTGCTGGCATGGAGTTGTGGCTGCTTTGTTGGGTGGGTCCTCTTTGCCACAGTCCCTACCATTCCCTGTTGTCCTGAGACCCTCAGGGGTTCACCCGTCTGGATGTCTGCCAGGCACCCAATAATAATTAATTGGTTATAATTATTGGTTAACAGGCACTCCACTAATAATAAAGAACTATTTCAAACAATTCACAGTTTTAGTTTCTTTTCTTTTTCTTTTCTTTTTTTTTTTCATTTTTCTGTCCCCCAGGCTGGAGTACAGTGGCTCAATCTTGGCTCACTGCAACCTCCACCCCCTGGGTTCAAGCAATTCTCCTGCCTCAGCCTCCTGAGTAGCTGGGATTACAGGCAGCTGCCACCGCGCCAGGCTAATTTTTGCATTTTTAGTAGAGACGGGGTTTCACCATGTTGGCCAGGCTAGTCTTGAACTCCTGACCTCATGATCCACCCACCTCGGCCTCCCAAGTGCTGGGATTACAGGCATGAGCCACCGCGCCCGGCCAGTTATAGTTTCTAATATGGCAAACATCAGTAGCTATACTCCACATGAACAAAAGCTCTTTGAGATCACCAATCATTTTTAAGAGTGGAAAGCAGGGTTTGTGATGTCCCTGTCACACACACAGGCACATATGCACACACGTACATACACACGAATGCACACAAATGCACATACACACACCCCCATGTGCAGGGACTCAGGGACAGCCAGTTCCCACAGACAGAGCTGGGAAGCTGCAGCCTCAGCCTACGATGTCCTTGGAAGTAGGTGGCGAGAAGAATAGGAGAGAGTGAGGAAATAGATTTGAATTCTCCCTCTCCTAAGCCTCAGCCCCGGAGCGGAGTCGGAAGGGAACAAACTGAGAGACCCAGCCTGAGAGGTGTTTCCTGGAGCAGTTTCCAGTCTAAAAGAAGCAGGAATTCTCCTTCCTTCCCTTCATGCCCAAATTCCTTTATTCCAGGCTGGGCGCGGTGGCTCTCACCTGTAATCTCAGCACTTTGGGAGGCTGAGGCAGGCGGATCGCCTGAGGTTAGGAGTTCAAGACCAGCCTGGCCAAGAAGGTGAAACCCCATCCCTACTAAAAATACAAAAATTAGCTCAGTGTGGTGGCGGATGTCTGTAATCCCAGCTACTCGGGAGACTGAATCAGGAGAATCGCTTGAACATGGGAGGCAGAGGCTGCAGTGAGCCAAGATGGTGCCACTGCACTCCAGCCTAGGTAACAGAGCAAGACTACTTTGTCTCAAAAAAACACTTTCCTTATTCCACAAAGCCTAATGTGCCCCCGCACCCAGCATGGCAGAGTGGACCAAGAGGGATCCCTCCCTCTGGGGAGCTCCCTGCCAACCACCTGCTCCTTAGGAGAGAAGAGAAAGAATTAGACGATGGCAGTCCCAGGCTTGGGCAACCCTTGGTGCCTGGAAGTGGAGAGAGGGATTAGGGCAGGCTTCACGAAAGAGTTGGTCTCGGAGTTGAGTCTCAAAGGATGAGTAAGCGTTTGCTGCGCAGAGAAGGAAGGGAAAGGAATTCCAGACCTAAGGAGGGTCACATGTGAAAGCCAGGAGGTGTGAGAGGGCCCATGTGTCTTGGAGGTGATGGGACCACAGCTTGGGGATGTGATAAAGGGGGAGGACAGGAATAGAGGCTGTCAGGGTCAGAGCCAAAGACTGAGAGCAGTGGTTCCCAAAGTGTGGTGTGGGGGATCCCTGAGGTCCCTTGGGGCCCTTTCAGCGGCCGTAAGACCCTGCCCTTTCGAACCACTTATCCCATGTGGGGCTAGATTATTCCCATCCACTTCCTCCCAGACAACCCTTCGCAGCAGATTCACGCAGAAGAGGCTCTGATGAGGTGAAGGTGCGGACATCAGAGGTTTGCAAAAATGCAAAACAGTGCCGCTCTGCTCACCACGTTTTTGTTATTGTTTTGGAAAATACATTTCTTTTTCATGAAAATTGTTATTTTATGTTAACATACAATGGGTTTATTATTGATATTTTCAAATAACTATTAATAATAAAGAACTATTTCAAAAACTATTCAGTTTTAGTTTCTAATATGGCAAACACCAATAGCTATAACCCACACGAACAAAAGCTCTTTGAGATCACCAATAATTTTTCAGAGTGGAAGGGCGTCCTGACCCCAAATGGACAGGGAGTGTTTCAGGCAAGCTGGGGCCAGTGGAGAAAGTGAAGTGGGGATGAGGTGGGATGATGTTCCTGGCAGGGAAACTGGGGGCTGGAATTATTGCTCTTTTATTTTATTTTTATTATTTATTTATTTATATATTTTTTTCTGAGACTGAGTCTTGCTCTGTTGCCCAGGCTGGAGTGCAACGGCATGATCTCAGCTCACTGTAACCTCCGCCTCCCAGGTTCAAGCAATTCTTGTGCCTTAGCCACCAAAGTAGCTGGGATTACAGGTATGTGCCACCATGCCCAGCTAACTTTTTTTTTTTTAAGTAGAGATGGAGTTTCACCATGTTGGCCAGGCTGGTCTCGAACTCCTGACCTCAAGTGATCCGCCCACCTCAGCCTCCCAAAGTGCTGGGATTAGAGGCGTGAGCCACTGCACCAGGCCTATTGCTCTTTTTCTAGCATGTCCTCCTTTCTCCCTCCCTCCCTCAGGCTGTATCTGATGGAAACAGACAAATAGGCAGACAGATGGACATCAGTCCTTCTCTTAGTCCTGAAGCAGAAGGTGCGAGGCGTGGACTCTGGGAGGGTCCGGGCCACCTCTGCATTCTAGCCCGGGGGTGTCGGAAAGTGATCTGCACCTC